GATAGAAATATACCTAACTGCCTTGCTTGGTTGAAATACAGGAAGTGTAAATGCATTCTTGTTAATCTTAATTCCATAGACATATAGGCAAAGTTAGCTTGAATTGGCTAGTAAGAACTTGACAGATTCTTATGAGCAATATCAACCCTGTCAATCAACGATCCAGATAAATCAATTAGTCATTTTAAGCCAAGAACGCAATATGATTGTTAGCTAGACTATGACCCTGGAATATCCTCTCCTACTGATTGTTATCCGAAATTTCTTAAGTGTTGTGGTTGATCTCTAGTTTTTTCATTGCTTAATAGCTTTTTAGGTAGTAAATTAGTCACTTACACATTTTATGAGAAATCTCTTGAATCGATAAGTTGTTTGAATTTAAATCAGTCAAAAGTTAATCATAAGTCTTCGTGGGAACGATACTCTACTCACTACCCTATTACTTGACGACCACGTAGACTTGCGTGAGTGTGTTTGGCCCCAACAAGGTTTTGGCGCCGTTGCCCGGGACTTAAAATTAGCTTATTTTCTAGATTAGACTTTTACTTTTATCTTTACAAGTTTTTTTTCCTTTTTGTAAATATTTTTATTTTTATAACAATTTGATCTTTCTCTTGGTGTGTTTCTAGTTTTCTCAACATGACATCTGGGGATAAAATATCCGGAGGTAAGGTTATTGATGAAGACGCTTGGTTGACGGAAGACTTTTATGGCCCGTCTTTTTGGGCTTGTCATGACCTGAACTCTGGGAGGCCTGAATTTGAATATGGGAGTAAGGGTTGGTATTGGGACAGATATTCTCGATTAAGCGAATATACGGAACAACGTTATCTTTTAACAACGTTGGTGCATGATTGGTTCAAGGAGAGAGTTGATCTTGCACATGAAATTGACATTTTTTGCTTGGTTGTGCATAACTTGGATACAGATTTGAGTGCAAAGGTTGATGCGTGTAACGCCCAACAATTTAATGATGAGTTGTGTGAAGCTAAAAAAAAATCTTCTACACCAAATTGAGGAGCTAAAATGAGAATACCAATCATTAGACCATATTTCCCTTGATGGTACCAATATTGAGAAGGGTGCTCTAGAGTCATGTGAGAGAGTAGATAACATAACTTTTGCAGACTTTAGTATATGTAAATATGGGGATGTAAATAGTAGTATAATTCATGAGTTAGGGCGCATTAGACCTCGTTCCAATCATTTTTTCACATTTTGTTTAGATAGTAAGATAGTAATCGAGCCATCTGAGCCTGTGCGGGAGTCAAAGGGTGAGGATGAGAGTGCCTATATTATTGAATTTATTATGCCAAAAAGCAAAAATTACATTCCTCATCGAAAGGCCGAGAAGTGTAGAGTGAAAAATTTATTACTTGGCCTGGTTATCTTTGTAACCCCACCACTGGAGCATAGCCGCAGACTGGATGTCATGTTAGGGGTATAATTCATAAGTTCAAGGTGGAGGAAAAAGTGGGTCACGTCGTGCCGCAACGTTAAATTAGGCGCTTGTTGGGAGGCAACCCAGCTTTACTGCTTTCTTTTATTTTTGTTGATTTTGTTTTTATTATATTATTTTTGTAGTATTTATTTTTATTTTATAGGATTATGAGCATAGGAAGAAAAGCCACTGGAAGTATACAAAAGCGAGCCAGATGGTTGGAACTAGTGTGAGGTACCCGCACAAAAGACTATCCTTGGGAGAAGTCTGAGTACCCCGTGAGCTGCTAGTTCTTCGGCCTTTGGTCTTTCTGAGAGTTTTTTGCCCACCCTCGTTATTTTTTGCTTTATTTGTGCATTGGGGATATTGCACTCTTTTAAGTGTGGGGTGGGAGAATTTCTTTAGATCATTAGTAGTATTATTAGTATGTTAATTTCTTATTTTTTTTAGTTTCACATTCTTGTTTTTTAATAGTAGTGTAGTATTTTAGGTGATTAATTTTAAAATTAAAAAATAATGAAAAATATTGGACTTTTCTTGACGATGGATCTCCTAGACAGTCTTTTGAGCGATTAAAGTCTAGCAAAAAAATGAAAAATAATAAAAACAATAATACAAAAGTATGTCTTTTTGTTTTTTAGGTAGTAATAATCCCTTGTAGTTTTTTTGTGCCTCGGTTCTTTTCCATGGGATGTAGTTTGAACCGGACAATATTTTTTCAATTTTTAGAGTATATTAGAATTTAAAAAATAAATAGAGGAAGAAATATGATATTCCTAGGCGCTCTTGACTTGTTTGACAGTAACATATTTAAGCTTTGGCATGTGTATTATCTTCCCTATATTTTGAAATTGTCTATGATACTGGTAGAGATTGGATAGCATGTTATTGACGCCTATATCTCGTTTACTTGACTTATGTTCACTTTGTGCTTAATTATTAATATCTCATGGATCCGTGAATACTTGCATTTGTTAAGAGTCGGAATGGGACCATCCTTAGTGAGTCATGTACCATGTGTGGTGAGGTTTTTGAGTAGTCCATGTTTTTGTGATTGAGTCTAGAACTTGCCCGGTATGTGAGTTGAAGAAACGTTTTAGGTGATTTTAGTCTTTCTTTGATCTTTTTGAGCTTAATTTATTATCACAAATAAAATATATCCCTAGTTAACCCTTTTGATCCTATAGACTTTTATTTGACACCCACATTACGAGCCTATACCCCTTTTATTCGTAATTGACATTATTTTGATTCTTTTACCTCTTAAAGTACTTTAATTGTAAAATGAGCGCTAAAAGACTAGAAGGGACTAAGTGTGGGATGGCTTTTGAGTGGAACTAATGAAAGGAAGAAAGATGCACTTGTTTTTGTAAAAACATGCGCCACTAGTGGAAATTGCAAAAGAGAAAAAAGAATTTTGAGAAACAATATGTAGATGAATAAATATCTTATTTTTGCTAGTGGAGTGTAAATGATGATAGTGCTTAAAGAAAAAGGGAATATTTTTGGGGATGATCTTGTTGTGAAGTTGAACTTGGGTTGAGGAAATATGCATTTAAAGTTGATTATGTGACATGTTAAAGTTCTTAGGAGGATGAACCACTATTCCTAAATATATCCTACCCGTCCTTTAGCCTACATTACAACCATGAAAAAATCCTAATTAATTTTAGATCGAGTGAGCCTACATTAGTAGAGATTTACATTATGGGCAAGCCTATGGTACCAATTGCGTGCATGTGACTTCTTTGTGAGAGTGAGCAATTTCTTTGATATATGTGAGGTCCATAAATTATATTTCATCATGAAATTCAAATGTGTGGATTCAACTCACTCTCTTTGATTTTGTTGTGAGGGCACATGGTTTCACGAGGGATAGGTAACTTTATTAGACTTCTCTATGATGTTGGGTGTTCAAGCCAAGAGTGCATTATGACATTGAGTCGATTTTTGAGGCTAGGATTGTTATGAGCACATTGTCTTTGTTGTGAATATTGTTGATGAATGGCATAAGTAAAGGAAAGTGTAAGTGATTGTATATGCAACAGTTTAATTGTTGCTATCAAACATGGTCATTGGTGTAGTGTGCCTCAAGTGTGTAAAAATAAAGTGCTAAAAAATAATGCAAATTGTTGGCTTACTCGAGGACGAGCAAGATTTTAAGTCTGGTGTGGTGATATTCGACCAATAATGCATATATTTACCTATTGTTGCCTCATATTCTAGTATTTTTAATCATATTTTGAGTATTAATTATATTACTTTGTACTTAATATTATATTTTAACTGTATATGAATAAAGTGATGTGAAGATAAAAATATTTGGAGCAAAATTAAATAAAACGCGGAAGAAAAAGAAAAGAAAATAAAGAAGGAGACAAAGGGGGACACCCTTTGGCTTTTGTCCCCCCAAGTGAAGGACAAGAAAAAAATGAAATAAGTAACAATGAAAGAAGGCATCTGACGCAACGAAAAATTGCAAAATCATCACTGCTTTTTGCGCCAGGTCCAGCGCTAGGCACTGGGGACGGGTACTTTTCCTAATTTGCTCGGGATAGGGTTATTTCGGTCCTACACGCTCCTAACTCATATAAAAGGGGTCCTAAACATATTTTTGAGGGGAGAACGTTTTTGAGAGTAACTTTTGACCAAGGGAGAGCACAGAGCCGCCATGGAGGCCGGGTTTCATCTTTTCTTGCACCAAACTTAGTAATTTGTATGTTTCTTCGTATGATTTATTATTTTGCTACCACATCTATGTGGAGCTAAACTTTACGTTCTAGGGTTGTGGTTCTTTCTTGACTATTGTTATTCGAATATTGATTTTAATTTTTCAGTTTATTGTATTAGTTTATTTATTCAATCCTGCACTTAATTATTTGATTGCTTGATCACCAATTGAATGCTATCTACGAATCAAGAATTGAACTCGAATGTGGGAATTCTAGATTGCATATAGGATTGAGTAGAGCAAGTTCTTGAACCCGGGCATCGGGGAACAAATTCGCGATTAGGATAGACATATACCTAATTGCCTTTCTTGGTTGATGTATATGAATTATAAATGCGTTCTTGTTAGTTCTAATTCCATAGACATATAGGCGTTGGGTTAGCTTGAATAAGCGAGTAAGAAGGATTCTTATGAGCGATATTAACCCTGTCAACCAATAAGCTAGATGAATTAGTTAGTCAATTCAATTGAAGAATACAATAGGAATGTTAGATCATTTTCATTACATTGATACATAAAAATCTATTCTTCCTTTGCTCAGAGTTAATTATTTTTTAATTAGATTAAGGTCACATAATTCTAGGTTTAATTCTTTTTTAGATAATTAGGATAGTCTAATTTAGTTATTAGTTAATCACAAGTCCTCGTGGGTTCGACATCCGACTTCTTATCACTTAATTACTTGACGACCTTGTATACTTGCGTGTGCGTTTGGCCGCAACATGTTTTTGGATCTGCTAAACTGTTGCCTTCTCTAAGAGTGTGTGCCACTGTCACATTATCCCTGGTCATCAGCTCCTTGATATCCTCCACATCGACGGAAATAGATCATGGAACACTCCACTCTCCAGCTATTACCTTGGTAAGCAACATTGAATCAGTGTGCAGATTAATGTGCACATAACCATGCTCCACACAGAATCTCAAAGCTCTGAGCATTGCCTTTACTTCAGCATTTGTATTTGTTCCTTCCTTAATCTCCTTACCACATGCATATACTACATCTCCCTCTTCATTTCTCAATACATAACCAATAGAACTTCTACCTGGATTACCCCTAGATGCCCCATCTGTATTGACTTTTATCCAACCTTGGCTTGGATATTCCCACAGTACCTTGGTATACTTCAATGCAGGTGTATATTTCTCCATCATGTTTAGTAAATATGGCCACTTATGAGGGATGTTCTGAATACCTGGCTTCCTGAATTTGATGAGAGATTGTATAGTAGAGGAAATCTGATAGATGACCCTGCTTACAGTGACAACATCTCCATACTTGTATCTGTTCCTTCTCTTCCACAATTCCCACGCTATTACTGATAGTAAAGCTTGCATTATAGGCTGTAATCTTGGTACAAAATCAACAATCCAACATTTACTCACAGCCTGGTGAAATGTGATCCCATCTATGACCAAGAAAATATTTCCATACTATATTGGCAGCATAGGATATGAAAAAAAGATGATGTATTGTCTCCTCCTTTGCCTCATCACAACACTAGCATTTAGATGCCATTATGTATCCCAGTCTTCTGAAGAAATCATCCAGCGGCAGCTTATTTCTCCAAACTTTCCACATGAAGAACGAAATCTTGAAAGGCAATCCTTTCACCCAGATTTTCCTATAAGCATTGCAAGGTTCTTTCCTCCTTCTTAAGTAATCCCACGCTGATTTGACACTAAACTATCCCCTTGTTTCTAAAACCCAACAGGTCCTTTCAAGGACATCACTTAGCACTGGTGGCTTCATATTTTCCAAAATATGGTTTGCAAGGTCTGCTGGCAGTATCTCCCTAATCTTCACCTCATCCCAGTGTGTCGTGCACCAAATCATATATGTTTTGTATAGTTTCATCACACATAAAATCTGGAGGTGTGACAAAATATAAAGCACCCAATCTTGTCCAGTTTTCAAACCAGAACAAAGAAGATCCCATTCTAGGTTGCCATAGTATTTGATGTTCTATGATATCTCTATATTGAAGTAACTTTCTCTATACATGAGATCCATACCTACAAGGCACCACCATAGGATTAAGTTTATTTTGCAGTATTTCTGACTCATAAATGAACTCCACAAGCTTGGTTTCGTTCTGAAGTTCCACCATAGTTTACAAAACAATGATGTGGAGATATCATGTAGGGATCTAAATCCTACTCCACCTTCTTCACATGACAAGCATAGAGCGTTCTAAGATGCCCAGTGTCTGCTTGAACCTCCAATAGAATTGCTCCAAAAGAATTATGCAAATATCTTGTGTAGCTTGTTGATCACATATGGGGGAGGATTTACTTAAGAAAGAAGATGTATAGGCATACTTTGAAGCACATGAGATATTAAAACATCCCTTCCCCTATAGATAATAACTTCCCTTTCCAAGTCTGCAGCTTATCCAAAGCCTTATTAATGAGACCTTGATAGTAATCTATCCTTCTTCTAGAATAAAATATTGGACAACCAAGGTATATAAAAGGGAAATCCTGTCTGGGAATACCTATGATCCTTTGTACCTTGCTCACCACCTGTGTACTGGCAGAATGATGCATGTATATAGCTGATTTTCTCTTATTGATTAGCTAGCCAGAAGCAGCTTCATAAGCTGCCAAGACTTCCATTATCAATTGCAATGAAGTAGCATCAGAGGAAGAGAAGATGATGGAATCATCAGCATATGCTAGATGATTAATCCTGAGACTCCATTTGGGCAATCCAAATCCACAGAAATATAACTTCATATGCAATGAATTCAGCCCTCTTAACATTGCCTCTGCTGCCAGAATAAATAGAGTGGGTGACAAAGGGTCACCCTGCTTGACACCTCTTGTTGATCTGGAAAACTATGAGGTTGCCCATTAAGCAATACAGAATACCAATTGTTAGAAATAATCCCATACGTCAACCCTATAAATCTTTCTCCAAATCCCATCTTCCTCAATACTTTTTCTTTTGTCATATGCTTTTGTCATGTCCAATTTGATCACAATATTTGGACCTACCTTGGTTCTCAATCTAATATCTGTAATTATTTCTTGTGTTAGAAGAACATTCTCCATTATGCTCTTCCCTTTTATAAAAATAGCTTGTTCATCTGGTATTAGATTAGGATGCATGCCTACCAACCTTTCATGAATGATTCTAGAAAATACTTATTGATAAAATTGCTGAGACTGATAGGTCTCATGTCAAAAAAGGTCACAACTTCCTTCTTCTTTGACAGTAAAATCAGATTTGTATGAGTTACAAACCTAGGTAGTTCATGACCATTGAAGAATGCCTTCACCATATCTACTATAATTATCCCCAATTATATCCCAGCATGAGTGAAAGAAACATCCAGTAAATCCATCAGGACCTCCAACACTTTCCCCATTTAAACCAAACACTGCATATTTGACCTCCTCCTTTGTAGGCTGCTGCACCAAATCCAAATTTTATGTACTGTCTACCATTATAGGAATAGGATCTAGAATTCCAAATGTTGTAGGGACTATATCCTCATGGAATTGTGCTTGAAAAAACCTTACTGTTTCCTCAGTCATTTCTGCATTGTCTTCTAACCAATTGCCAACATTATCCTGCACCCTTTTCAGTTGTAATCTGTTCCTTCTACCATTCACTTATGCATGGAAGAATTTCGTATTCCTCTCTCCATCTTGAAACCAAGGCATGCCAGATTTTTGTTTCCAAAATTCATCCTCTAGAGCTAAGTACCAGATAAGTTCATCTTGCACCTTCTCTAGCCTTTCTCTATTTTGATATGTAGGATGAAACTCAAATTGAGACTCATGTACTAGTACCACCTTCTCTAAGCTTGCTATCTTCTGAAATATATCACCATAAGTTGCTCTGCTCCATGTTGATAAAGTCTTCTTCAATCTCTTTAGCTTGTGTTTGAAAATAATAAAAGGATCCCCAGCAAAGTCAGCTTTCCAATTCTCCTTCACCACAGCTTTGAAGGTATGTGTTTTGTCCAAAAATTGAGAAATTTGAAGGACTTCTTAGCTGGTGGTGCAGCAATGTTACATGTCAGCAGCATAAGGATGTGATCAGACCATATTTTTGATAAGTGTGTGACCTCTATTCCTGGTAGACTTTATTGAAATTCCATATTTGTCAGGCAGCGGTCCAGTCTTTTAAAAATGTAGTCCTCTTCAGCTCTCCCATTCCACTAAGTATAGATACTTCCTTTGAAACCTAAATCAAAAAGGTTACATGTGTTGATGCAATGTCGGAAATCATTAACTTAATTCAGTGATACAGGAAGTCCACCAAACTTCTCTTCCTCATCCCAAATAACATTGAAATCACCCCCTATAAGCCAAGGCAATGACATATCTTTAGCAAGAATGTACATACTGTCCCATAATTCAATCCGTTCAATAGCATCACATTTAGCGTAAATAAATGTGATAATGAACGAGATTTCAGTATCCAAATTTGTCAGCTTCAAAGTCATCTGTTTCTCCATATCAATCAGTACATCTACCCCATGATCCCCATCTACAACCACCCATATCTTATTTGATATATTGGTTAAAGCTTGTAGTATTCCAATCAGTCTTCTATATCTTTCTAATTTCCTTACCTTCTGCATTGGTTCCATGATCCCTATGAATTGAAAACGATACTGTCTCTGAATGTTGACAAGCCTTTCAAAGGCTTTCTTTCTATTAACGGACCTCACATTCCAAAATATAGCATTCATAATTAATTATGAGATTTAGATAGGGTCTTTCTTTTTTGAACCCTAGAAACTAAACTTTGATTATCTTTTGCTTGTTTTTCTTTCCCCTTCCAGCTGATTTCCCTCTGTCCATGTGCCTAGGTGAAAGATCACCTTGCCTTGCCATATTCCTAAAATTTTTTGCAGTAGATTCTTCAACAAGATCTCTCCATTTGCCTCTAACATTTGCCTCGTCACCAATGTCTTCCATTTGAGCTGCCAATTGATTTCTCGTAGGATTAGGGATCAAATCTGTACTCCCTTTCGCTTGAATTGGTTGTCCTTTGACTTCTTTAGGATTAGTGTTTTTGGCTAACCTTGCTTCCCTATTAGGACTAGATTGCATAAAACCTGTTACAACTTTTTTGGCATTCACAATCCCTTCGTCTTTACATATGTTTGTTGCTTGCATTCCAGCAGATTCGATCAGTACATGAGTACCCCCAGTAGGTTTTACTGCAGCTATATTTGGCTTAGTGGATTCTTCATCAAGGTCCTTACCAACTTTGTCCATATTTTCCTCCCATTCAATAATATTCAATTGAGCCACATATGTGTTCTTAGCTACCTTAGGTATCATGGTTCCACTAGTATTCATCTTGACCGTGCTCTCACGGTGCACCACTGAATTTTCTAATGGAACAGTGCACCCAGTTTTTTCAAATACACCTAACTCCACCTTGTCTTGTGTATGTTGCATATCTAAGTGTATCAACTTGTCTCCATCAGTTGAAATAGTGTTGTGTTCATATGCAACTCCCTAAGTGCCAACTGTTCCTCCAGGATCAATATTATTATGATCCTGTTTTCCAGCATTAGAACTTTTTGTACCTATTTTAGTGTTCCCTGTACCAGGTTGTTTCAGCTGATTATGATTAGGGCTCTTTATGTTGTTTGATTCATCTACCTTCTTCATACCCATTATCTCTTCATTGATCAACGCAACATCATCATTGGATTTTATCCCTTCCCCATTCACACTTTGTTCCTCTTCTTCTCCCTCCTCATCTGTTGATTCCTCTTCACCAATGACACCTTCTAGGAGCTCACCATCCTCTGAACCTTCTTATACTTGATCACACCATAGTTTACTTCTAAAGAGCTGCAACCTATCATAATCTTTAGAGCCAAAAGCTGTTGCATTTGTGTTAACTGACTGTGAAGGTATTTCCCTCTCTGATTGTTTGGCCAGTTGTCCTTCCACATGTGTATCTTGTGAAGGAATATATTTACATGAAGTATTAATAGCAACAATACTACCATTAAACGTTCTTTGCACCCATTGTGTTGTGGATTCTTTATTTCTAGGTTCTTCATTACTTATTCCAATAGGGCTTATATCTGGACGAGCCTTCTTTGATTCAATCATAGCTAGAGTAGAATTAATAATTGGGGCAGTTGGATTTAACCTCCTAGCAGTAGTAGGATTAGGTTTCTGACTTTGTTGAGCTAAATTATGCTTTCCATCTGGAAGCGTTGAAACTGTACGACTATGCTGACCCTTTTCTCCCACCAATACAAGCTGGTTATCTGCTTCTTCTTCCTCATCCAACATTTCTAAAAAAGCAAATTTATTTCCAATTTGAACCTGTTTGTTTGCTCTTTGATCTA